AAGACACTGGCAAAAAATAAGTCCCTAGAAATCAATGGGATACCAACTGACTTATTTGAATTAACAGATGCAGCCTTGGATGCACTCACCAGTCTATGCCAGGAAATGTGGAGGATGGCTATCTGGCCAATGCATTGGAAGATGTCCATATTTGTTCCTATTCCCAAGAAGGGTGATCCAACTGAATGTGGAAATTACTGAGCAATATTGATATCACATGCAAGTAAAATACTGCTGAAGATCATACAAAAATGGCTGGAGCAGTACCTAGATAGGGAATTACCAGAAGTTCAAGCAGGATTTAGAAGAGGCCATGGCACCAGGGATGTCAGATAGATCATGGCTGAAAGTAAGAAATACCAGAAGAATGTCTGTTTGTTCTTTATTGACTACGCAAAGGCATTTGACTGTGTGGATCATGACAAGTTGTGGCTGACACTGAGAAGAATGAAAATCCCAGAGCGCTTGATTGTGCCCATGTAGAACTTATACCTGGATCAGGAGGCTGTTGTGCAAATAGAGCAGGGGAGCTCTGCATGGTTTGGAATTGGGAAGGGAGTGTGTCAGATATGTATTCTATCTCCATACTTGTTCAATCTATATGCTGAGCAAATTATCTGAGAAGATGGACTCTATGAAGAGGAATGTGGCATCAGAATTGGAAAGAGACTCATCAATAACCTGTGTTATGCAAGATGACATAACCTTGCTTGTTGAAAGTGAGGACTTGAAGCACTTGTTGCAGAATATCAAGCAATGCAGCCTTCAGTATGGACTCGATCTCAATATCAACAGCTTCACCTTGCTTGGATCCACGATTAATACTCTTGGTACAAGCAGTCAGGAAATAAGAAGATACACTGCACTGGGAAAATCTTCAGTTAGGGACCTTTCCAAATTACTGAGGAGTAGTGATGTCAGTTTGAGGACTAAGGTGTGTCTGATTCAGGCCATACTTTCTCCGATTACTAGCTGTACACCCGAGTCCTGGATAATGAATAAGGATGAGAGAAAAAGAATTGACACCTTTGAGCTTTGGTGTTGAAGAGCACTGAACATCCCACAGATGGCCAAGAGAACAAATAGGTATGTCTTGGAGAGGGTGCAGCTGGAGTGCCCTTTGGAGGCAAGAATGATGAGGCTTTGGACATGTTGCTAGGAGGTGCTATTCCTTGGAGAGTGACATGATGTTGGGAAGGGTGGAGGGTTAGCAAAGGAGAGGATGACCCTGGACAGGGTGGATTGACACAGTGACTCCTGCACTGGCACCTAACAACAACAACAACAACAATCACTGATTTCATTTTCCTTGGATCCACAATTAACATCCATGGGAGCAACAGTCAAAAAATCATGACATATTGTATTGGGCAGATCTAACAGAGACCTCTTTACAAAGTGCTAGGGAGCAAGAATGGCAGTTTCAAGTAAGGTGTGCCAGACTCGAGTCATGCTATTTTCAAGTGCTTCGTATGTATCTGAAAGTTAGACAGCGAATAAAAATGACAGGAGAATCAATGCCCTTTAATCACGGTGTTGCGAAAAAGTACTGAACATTCCATGGACTTCCCAAAAAACCAAATTTTTCTTAAATGAAGTGCAACCAAATGCTCCTTATAAAAGCAAGGTCAGTGAAATACTTTGGGGGTTGGGTGGGTGTTGGTATGTTGGAATCAGTGAGAATGGCACAGGCTTCAGAGCTTCTGTACATTGGGTCACTATGGGTCACAGGCAACTCAACACTTAACAATATTGTTAAATATTGAAAAAAAGACATGCAGTGAAAGGTCATTACTGTTGTTGTGTACTGTCAAGTTGGAACCAACTCATAGCTGACATTCCAGAGGGGTTTTAGACTCAGTAACTCACAAGGGAGGACACTGTCCATTTTTCTTCTGTGGAGTATCTGGTAGATTGAAACCATGTGCTTTAGACTCGGCAGTGCACACCTCTACCTCTAATAGGCTATTAGAGCTGTCATGGAAAAGCTGTTGTTGTTATTGTTATGTACTATTGAGTCAGAACCAACAACCTATAGCTGACCCTCTGATGAGTTTTCAGAGGCAATTAATCACACAGGAGGAAATGACCCATTCTTCTCCCTTAGAGCAGCTGGTGTATTCAAACTGTGCACCTTCAGGATTGCATCACAGTTTCTTGCCACTAGGCCACCAGAGCTCCCTGGGAAATGTGGAAGAACAGGAAAAAAAAAAAAAGATGACCCTCAATGATGGTTGACACAGTAACCAAAGGATTGGGGTGCTAGTGAAGGTTACTGAATATATCATGAACTGCCAAAATAACCCACAAAAATGATAAAACCTCAGACTCATTGCCAGCGAGTCAGCTCCTCCAGCTGGTTTTCAGGAGGCTATAGACCACACGGGAGAAGACTGCTCATTCTACTGTGAAGCCACTATTGAATTCAAACTGTGAGAGGAATGTCCTTAGCAACACAACTCCCAATGGACTACAGGACCAGAGTTCCCAAAGAACAAGTCTGTCCTGAAGGAAGAGCAAGCTAAGAGGGTGCTCCATAGAGGCAAGGGCAATGAAACTTCAGCTCACGTACACTGATCATGCTGCCACGAGGGGGCTAGTTCTTGGGAAAAAAGTTACCATTCTGGAAAAAGCAGAGGATCAGTGAATGAGACCAAGATCTTCAATGAGATGGACTGAAGTATCAACTGCACCAATGAGCTTGAGTATGGCGGAAACCGAGGATGGCACAGGTCAAGGCAAGGTGGTGTACCCAGGGTGGCTATGAGTCCTAGATGATGGCTTTTCTTACTTTCCACAACAGTAACCACAAAAATGCTAACAATAATGGTAGACACATCTTTGAAATGAGACTGTACTTAAGATTAAATGGTTTATTGCACTTGCATTTCCTGGATGAATGTGGTAATTTGTTCTGGAAACAAAACTGAGAGAAAAGGAATTGTGATGAAGGGCTGCTTTCTGTCAGCCTTTCAAGTAGTGATGGTTAAGGAGATACTGAAAACAGCCAATCCTTCCGCCTCATGCTAATTAAGCCATTGGAAAATGACCAACAGAGAGAAACATGGTTCAGAGTCTGTAAGAATTTCATACCTAACAACGAGCTATAGCATCTGAATGACAAAAATAACTATAGATGATATTTTTATTACTTTTATAGACATTGAATAACTTTTTGAAAACTGTAAAAGTCACATATATAAAAAGCTTCCGATAGCAGATAACAAAAGTTAAGGGGAAAAAAATATCACTAATTTTGGAAAGTAAAACCAAGAGTGACACTGCTTTTTTACTTCTATTTGTATAACTTTATCTGTATTTTCTAGAATAAGCACTTTTAAAAGTAAAAAATTTATAAAAGTAGAAAGATTAAAACTTAGAAAACAAAACATACTCTTCAAAAATAATTTCTAATTCTGACTTATTTTGGAGTGTCTTCACTGTATATTTATGTATCTATTTCTCAAAGGTATAAAACCCACTATATTGTTCATGACATTTTGCAATCAATTTTCTTCACACAAAATGATTTGTTTTAGTTGTATTCTTCTACAGTGTCTTTTTAATGGATAACTTACTGTTAAATATTTAGATTACTTCATATAGTTATCAATGTTATAAATATATTATTACAAGAATCCTTTTATATGTGTCTTAAACGTCTAAAATAGGAATTCTGTGGCAAAAGATATGCACATCATACAACCTTTTCATTCCCAATGTCAAATAATGATCTGGGAAGTTTGTGAATAGCTACATCCGTCAAAGTACAAGGAATTCTCATGCTAGATATTATCATTTAAGTCAATAAATAACTTATAACAAAAAGGGTATCTTAGTTTAATCTGCCTTTACTCAATCATTAAGAATACATATATTTCTTATGCAGTCTTCTTGGAATTACCTGATTATGTTCTTCGCATATTTTTCTTTGGAGGTAATAGCTCCCTCTCATTCTTAAAAGTTCTTTAAATATTAAGGATATCAATGTTTTACAATAAATATTGTATGTACTGCTGCCAGTTTCTATCAAGTTTGTTGATAGTGTTTTTATTATTCAGAGTATCATTCACTTTTGATGTTTTTAAGAACATATTTTTCATCATGTTTGTGTAATGATGTTTTAAAAGGCATGGTACACTTTCAAAATCTGCAGATTAGCAGGAGAAAAGATCAAGATCAATTAGTGAGAGAAGTGAACCACTATAAAATAGGAAAAGTCATTCTTTTTATAGAAAAAAGGACAATAAACAGTAAAGTCTTTTAAGTGCTCTTTATAAGAGCAATACCAAGCATTCAGTGTAGAGTAATATTATAATTTCACAATGTGCATCTCTGCAACTCCACTCTCATCCATAAATTTTGCAGCGATCTATAATCAGTTTTAGAGTCCTCATATGTGGAAATGACAGAGCAGCAGGGTCAGGTACAGGAATGAGGACAGGTGGGTGTACAGGGCACAGAGTGAAATGCAGGAAAAATGCATTTAACTTGTTTAACTAGTCTCATTATTATTCAAACTATTTGATGAGGTTTTTGAAAGGAGCCTCCCTTCCACTTTTTAAAGCAAAAATGGTTGGGAGATGATCTATTCACAAACATTTCAGAACAAGATAATGCCAACCTCAATGTGAAAGTTTTGCTATTGGCACTTGGATGCCAACATTTCCTTTTTGCTACTTCTAATCCTTTAGCAAGCTGCAGTAGAAATAGAAAATATAAACAGAATTATACTTTATTTTTTAAAAAATATACTTTGAATTATTCTTTTAGTTCTATAATGCAATTATAAGCATTCTCCCCTCCTCCCTTTGATGATGTTGCTCCTTTGTAAGTTCCTTTGTTATGTTTCTGAAGACTTGGAACTTGGTGAACTGATCTTCAATTGTGGCAGGAAATATTAAACAGGAAACTCTATGTAATTTTTCCAGTAAGTACTTGCTTCTCAAACCTTGATTAAATGTCTTATTTAAATGCAAATGTTAGAAAACTTTAACATTTCATGGGGCCTTAGCTGTGGAACGCTTTCCTCCAGTCTGAACATTGACCATGGTGAAGTAGATGCCCTTTTGCGCCAGCAGCTGCTGGTGTGTGCCTTGCTCCTTGACCTTGCCGTTCTGAAACACCACGATGAGGTCCGCGCTCTGGATGGTGGAAAGCCGGTGAGCAATCACGATGCAGGTGCGCCCTTCTCTGGCTTTGTCCAGGGCCTCTTGGACAACCTGTTCAGGAAGCACAAAAATTCATTCTGATGCAACGAGTCACCTCCCTTTAATTCCTCTGCCATTACAAACCAATAGGCAGCACATCCAGGCAGCCTGAGCCAGGTTTTTAGGACTGGGAAGGTCTCAGGATGGTTGGCAACTTCTCTTCCTTTCTACAAGCTCAGTCTGTCAGATATCTCAGCCATCAGCCTTTTCTCTAACTGAAAGTGAACGCTGATATTTACCTGAAGGCAGGAAGATTTGAAAATCATCCAGACCTCCTTTCTTTTAACATGGCTGTGCTGCCTCTGCCCATGCAAATAGGAAATATGTCTCCTGAAGGCAGATTCTTAGACCAAAACAAAGTAATGCATGGGCTTTTGAAGCTTAACTGTCATAAAAAATGCCTTATGCCAGTGGATCCCGCGAGTGGTTCTAGTGGCACATGGTTAAAACATCTCGCTGCCCCCATCAACAAACGAATGGCTAGAGAAGCTGTGGTATATTCGCACAATGGAATACTATGCTGCATTAAAAAACAAGGAACTCATGCAATATT